ATGTCAGATGGATCTTCACTGAAAGCAGAGAATACCAGAAAACGTTCTATTTGTGTTTTATTGACTTTGTGAAGGAATTTGACTGTGTGGTTAATAAACTATGACTAACATTGAGAAGAATGGGAATCCTAGAACACTGAACAAATGCTCATACAAAACCTATACCTAGACCAAGAAGCTGCTGTCCAAACAGCAAGGGAACACTGTATGGATTAAAATCAGGAAAAGTATGCATCAGGGCTATATCCTTTCTTCATACCTGTTCAGTCTGTACGCTGAGCAAGTCATTTGAGAAGCTGAACTTTATGAAGAAGAATGTGGCACCAGGATTGGATATATTATGTAGATGACACAACCTTGTTTGCTACAAGTGGGGAGGACTTGAAACACTTGCACAGAATCAAAGGATGTGGTCTTCAGTGTGGATTCCATGTTAATATCAAGAAGACAAAATCCTCTCGCTGGGTCATTTAGCAACATCATGATAGATGGAGAAGACAATGAAATTGTCAACCATGTCCTCTTGCTTGGATCCACAGGCAATGCCCTTAGACCCCCAGTACCCTTAGTACTAGTGGTCAAGAGTTCAAGAGACTTACTGCCTTAGGAAACTCTGCTGTCGGGATCTCTCCTAAGGACTGAGGAACAATGATGCAAACGTAAAGACTAAGATATGCCTGATTCAGGTTAATGTCCTTCCAGTCACTCACTGTGAATCTGAGAGCTGGACAGTGAATAAAAGTGACAAGACAAATCTGCCTTGGAGTTGTGGTGTTGGAGAATATCCCATGGACTACAAAAAGAACAATCAGATATGTCTTGGACAAAGTACAGCCAGGGTGCTTTTTTGAGGCAAGCATGGCGAAGCTTCATCTCACATATTTTTTGTCATGTTGCTGAAAGGGATTATACCTTGGAAAGGAAAATCATGCTTTTAAAAGTGGAAGGTCACCAAGAGAGGAGAACCCTCAGTGAGGTGAGCTGACGGGCACAGTGACTGCTGCAGTGGGCTGAGTCTGTTACGATGATGAGCATACCCAGGGTAGGACGGGTCTCACATGGCTCAGACCTTCATAGGGTCTCCATGAGTTGTACTTGACTGCACCTAACAACAGTAATTAACAGTGTTTCTCTGAGAGTATAAATGTTGAGAATTTTTTTCAATTAATTAGTTAGATATGGGTGGGTTTTTTTTCCTTCCTTTTGCACGGTTTAAAAGTCCTGTTTTAAAGAAAAAACTCATTCCCAGATTCAGAACCTTTCAGTACCTTACAAGTGCTGTCAAGTCGCCTGTGACTCATAATGACCTTATGTCCAACAGCCGTAAACCCTGCTCTGTCCTGTGCTAGTCTTACTGTCTCTGACACACCCATTACCCCAATGACTGAATCAATCCATCTCATCGAGGGTCTTCCTCTCCTGTGCTGTCCTTCCACCCCCCAAGCATGACATCCCTCTCCAAGGACTGGTCCCACCTTGCAAAATGTCCATAGTGTGTCAGACAAAGCTTCAGAATCCTTGCTTCCAAGAAGCAGTCTGGCTTCACCCTCTCTAGGATGAACTTGTTTGTTCTCCTTGGAGTCCATGGTATATTCATTACTCATCTCCAGTACCACAGCTCAAAGGCATCAATTCATCTTCTGTCATCCTTAGTCATTGTCCAGCTTTCTGATGCATGGCAAGTAATTGTGAAGACCATCGCCTATATCAGACATACCTTAGTCTCCAGACTGACATCATTGCTCTTCAGTACTTTGGAGAGGTCTCTGACAGCAGATTTTCCCAATGCAATTTATCTTTTGATTTCTTGGCTGCTGGTACCAAGAGTGTTGATTTTAGAGCCAAGCAAATTGAAGTTGTGAACATGTCAATCTCTTCACCATCATGATGCTGCCAATCGGCCCAGTGGTAAGAATCTTCATTTTCTTGATATTGATCTTCAATCCATATTGAAGGCTGAAGTCCTTGACCTTCTGCAGCAAGTGCTTTAGGTTCTCCTCAGTTTCAGCAAGCAGGCTTGTGTCATCTGCATAACGCAGATTGTTGATGAGTCTCCCTCCAATCCTGATGCCACATTTCTCCTAGAGCCCAGCCTCCTGGATGATCTGTTCTAAACGTAGATTTAAAAGATATGGAGATAGGACAGATCCTTGGCACACACCCTTCCCAACTTTGAACCATGCAGTGTTTCCTTTGTTCTGATGATTGCCTCCTAGTCCCAGTATAGGTTTCGCATAACCACAATCACGTGTTCTGGGACTCCCTTTCTTCTCAGAGTTAGCCCAGTTTATTGTGATCTACACAGTCAAATGCCTTTGCATAGTAAGTGAAACACAGATAGACATTCCTTTGGTACACTCTGCTTTCAGCCAAGATTCATCTAACATTAACTATAATAATATCCCTACTACCACGGCCTCTTCTAAACCCAGCCTGCAGTTCAGGCAGTTTTCTGTTGATGTGCTTTTCCAGTAGTTTTTGGATAACCTTCCAGTTACATTCAGAATTTTATGTAAAACCCTCCTCAGCCCCCTGGCCATGAAGAGATAAGCGCCTTTGACCCCAGTGCTCCTGAGGGTCCAGGAAGTTGTGTGATATTATCCAGACATGCATGGTATTGGAACTTTAAATGTGCAGGTTGCCAGTGGGCAATTGTTCTCTATCTAGAAATAGAAGTTGAGTTTGTGTAGCTACAGGTTCTATATCTGAGCGTTATACCTTCCAGGATTTTGCAGCACATTCAGCCAACTGCAGATGGAAAACATTGAGGAAGCAGAAAATAGCTCCAAAAAAAGTGATTATGATCAGAGCTATCCCTTTAAGGCTAAAAGGGAGGGAAGTGTTCTTTCTTAAGCATTTGTATTGTAATAGGCTTTGTAAGGATCCTCCAGATAGATTTAAGTGCATAGGTACATGCAAATTTGTTATTGCTAGGTGCTGTTTAATTGACAAGGACTTTCAGTGCCCTATGAACAATGGATCTGCACCCTGCCCTGTGCCATATTCATCATCTCTGTAAGGCTTTGGGCATTGTTGAGGTCACTGTGGCAGTCAGTCTTGCTGAGGATAGACTGCTGTAGTTGATAAGAGGGACATGCTGTTGTCAGGTGCCATCTAATCGACTACATTCCTGTGATCTTAGGGAAAATGTACTGGAACTGGGTGCTCTGCTGCGCCATCCTTGTGCTCGCCCACATACTCGAGCCTGTTCTTGTAGTCAGTGTGCTTTGTTGAAGGTCCTCTTCCCCTTTTTCCTGACCCTCTGCCTTTCCCAGCATGAGGCCTTTTCCCAAGGACTGCCCCTCTTGACAACATTTCACT